TTAGTTTTTGAATTTTTGGGCGCCCTCTCGGGTCTCCTCTTGGGGCCGTATTGGTGCTATCTTGGGCCGTTTTGGGCGCCTACTGGGCGGTTTCGGAGCCCTCTTGGGCCGTGTTGCTGCCTTCTTGGGGGCCTCTTGGGCAGTACTGGGGCGATATAGGGAGCCTCCTGGGCCATTGTGGAGCGTCGGGAAGCGGGACAAGCGAGAAGGCCAAAAACATCGAAAAACATAGGAAAATCAACAATTGTAGCCTCTCGGGGCTCTCTTGGGAGGCCTATTGGGGGTCTCTGGGGGCGTCTTGGACGCGTATTGGGCAGTCTTGGGCCCAGATTGGGCGTCTTGGGCCGATCTTCGGGTGCCTCGGGGCCCTTTTTGGCCGTCGTGGGTTTTTTTTTTCGCGTCGCACTCGCAGGACAGACACGAAGCACTCTGCAGGAGCGCCCCAAAGGTTCGGGGAGGCCGAAATTCGTTTTTTTTTGGGGGGGGACCGCGTGCCGTTTTTCCGGGGCCCCCGGCCCTGTAAAAATATGTAAATAGGAATATTTGTGTGCGTGCATATATGTATTGCGATGGCCTTACGGCCAGTGCCGCCGACCCAGAGAACGACGAAGATGAAAACGAGGGGGGGCAGGGGGAGGAGGATCAGTGGAAGGTGGAGCCTGGAGGAAGGGTGGGGGCGGTGGATGAGGGAGGAGGAGGGTGGAGAAGGACGTGGAGGAGAAGCAAGAGGAGGAAGAGGAGGCAGAGGAGAGCAGGAGGAGGGGGAGCAGGGGGGGGAGGAGGAGGAGGAGGAGGAGGAGGAGGAGGAGGAGGAGGAGGAGGAGGAAGAGGAGGAGGCCAGAGGTTTTTTGGGGACAGCCTGGGGCTCTCTTGAGGCCGTTTTGGGCCGTCCAGGGCTTTTCTTGCGCCATCTCGAGGCACTCTTGGAGGCCTCCTCGGCAATTTGGGGCTCTCCTGGGCTGTCTTGGGGCAATCGTGGGGGCCTCTTTGTCCGTCTTGGAGGTGTCTTGGGCCGTCTTGGGGCCCCCTTCGGCCGTTAGAGGGCCCTCTTGGGGGCCTCTTGGGCCGTTTCGGAGCGATCTTGGGGGCCTCTTGGGCCATCTTGGCGCGTCGGGAAGCGGAAGAGGCAAGAACGCCAAAATCTGTCAAAAACGCATGAGAAATCCATGAATGATGCCTCTTAGGGGCTCTCGTGGGAAAGCTCCTGGAGGCCTCTTGGGGCGCTTTGCAGGCCTCTTGGGCCGTCTGGAGGCCGTCAAGGCGTCTTGGACAGATCGTTCGGCGATTCGGGGTTCTCTCTGACTGTCTTCGGGGCCTCTTGGGGCACTCTTGGCCCGTCTTGGGGTTTTTGGGGCTCCGGGACTCCCCGGGGCGTCTGACCCCCCCAGGACCCCCCCCAAACTACATCGACGCATATGTATGTGCATGACATAAGCATAGAAGTGTATATCTGTACATATACACAGTTACATATACACATACATAAACATATACATGCACATACATGTGCACATACGCATGCACATACACATACACACAGACTGACACATATACAAATACATACATTCGTACAACCGATCCACCTACTTTCTTACATACATAAATACATATGGATATGTATGTACATCTAGATATAGATGTGCATATGTACATATAGCGGCCGTCGGCCCACCACGCCACCACGTTTGGGATGTAGGTCAGAGGCGTCTTGGATGCATGTTAGGGTCTCACGTGATGCTTCTCGGGAGCTTCTTGGAAGCAGTTTCTAGTCCGCGCGGGGGTTCTGAGCCTCTTGAGTCGTCTTGGGGCCCTCTTTCGGGCCTCTTGGATTGTATTGTGGCGATGTTGGGGGGGTATTGGCCTGTCTTGGAGCGTTGGAAGCCCGAAGAGGCGAGCACGCTAAAATACTTCCAAAACATGTTTGGGATATTAGTGTTGTTGACATATTGGGGATCTTCTTGGATCCCTCTTGCAGCACTTTCTGGGCCTCTTGGGCAGTCCTGAGGCCATCTTGGCCGTGGTAGCTCGCTCTTGGGCTGGCCGTCTTGGGCATGGCATTGTTGGCCCGTCTTGAAGCCCCCTTGGCTTCAGAAAAAGTCACGCGACACTCCCCAGGAGCTTAAGCAACCCGGTGATGTGAGACCTTGCACGGGCGCTCACCGTATTCAACATGGGAACTTGAAGACCTTCCAACGCGTGCCTCGAGGCACGGTGGCAGATAGACGTACCTACCGTTTTCTTGGCTACATAGCTACCCATGAACACACTTGCAAGCAGATGCAAACAGCCCCATTTTATATTATGACATTGTGTTTAAGTGCACAGTGTTACACGTGTACCTCTATGTACAACCATTTAAGTACACATTGTCCGCATATGCACACGTACTATCTTATATATGTTTTGTACCTATACGACCAGCCTTCGGGTGATAAGGAGGTTCGGGGGGGAGGAACCTACGTCTCACTCGATCGGTCTCACGATCGATCTCACTAGCGGTCTCACTATCAGTCTCGCTCGATCGATCTCACTCGATCGATCTCACAACCGATATCATTCGATCCGTTTCATTCGATCGATCTCACACTCGATATGACTATCGAGCACACTATCGACGATCTCATTTTCAATCTCACAATCTATCCCACAGTCGGCCTCACTATCGATATCACTATCGATATTACAATCGATATTACAATCAACGTCATCATCATCATCTGCATCATCGACATCATCGTCATCAACGTCATCAACATCATCATCATCATCATCAGGACACCACCACATCATCACCATCATCAGCAAAATCAGCAGTTTCATCATCATAATCGGGACACTAACATCATCACCATCATCATCAACATCATCATCATCATCGGGACACAATCACTGTCATTAGCATGGGAACATTATCAGAAACCTCACCATCACCCCATCATCATCATGAACAACATCGTCGACATCATCATCGGGACACAATCACCATCATCAGCAATATCATCATCATCAACATCCGCATCATCGGGACAGCATCATCATCGCTACCATCATCATCAGCATCGGGACACCATCATCATCATCAACATCAGCATCATCATCATCGGGCCACCATCATCAAAATCATCGCCACCCCACCATCATCCTCATCAACATCATCATCGTCACCATCGAACACCATCATCGTCATCATCATCAACATCGTCATCATTATCGGGACACCATCGTCATCACCATCGTCATCAACAGCATCATCATCAACCTCATCATCATCGGGACACCATCATCTTCATCATCTTCATCTCATCATCTCATCACAATCAGCATCATCATGATCATCAACATCATCATCATCGGGACACCATCAGCATTATCAGTATCATCAACATCATCATCGGGACACCGTCCTCATCACCACCATGGCCATCATCATCATGATCACCATCATCATCACCATCACCGGGACACCATCATCGTCACCACCATCATCATCATCAACGTCGTCATCAGGACACCATCATGATCATCATCATCATCATCGGAGCACCACCATCACCATCGGCATCATCCCATCATCACCATCATCATTGACAGCATCATCAACATCATCATCGGGACACCATCATCATCATCATCAGCAACACCATCATAATCAGCAGCATCATCATCGGGACACCATCATCGTCGTCACCATCATTATCACCATCATCATAATCGGGACACCATCATCATCATCAACATCAGCATCATCAGCACCATCGGGCCACCACCATCAAAATCAGCACCATCACCTCAGCAGCATCGCCCTCATCATCAACATCATCATCATCGGGACACCATCATCGTCATCATCAACATCATCATCATCGGGACACACCTCATCATCATCATCATCATCATCATCAACAGCATCAGCATTAACCTCATCATCATCATCATCGAAACACCGTCATCAATATCATCATCTTCACCATTACCATCATCTCATCATCTCATCATCTCATCATCATCAACATTATCAGGATCATCAACATCATCGTCATCATCACTGGGACACTTTCATCATCATCATCAGCAACATCAGTATCATCATCATCATCGGGACACCATGATCATCACCACCATGGCCATCATCATCATCATCAACAACATCGTCATCATCATCATCGGGACACCGACGGGACACCGGCGGGACACCGCGGGGCACCGGTTGCCCGAAGGGAGATTTTTGGCCCGGCCGCGCCTCAGCCAGAGGCGGGACATTTCTCGCCCGCCCACGCAGCTCGTTTCGCCCGCACGCACGGCACGCACGAACACGAAGCCGAAGCCGATTTCCCGGTAGGGGGGCTCTCCGTTCCACTTCGATCTCACCCCGTCACCTCCGATGTATATAAATATGTGCATACGAAGCCAGCTTCACGCCGCCTGACTATGTTTGTATAAACATAGTTCTAAGCCGTATACATATATACAGGTTGTCCGACCGAACGTTGTTCCGTAAACACCATACGCCACGCCATCCTCCATCGACCGTCGGCAGCGAACGAAGCAGCCGCAAGACAATCCAGGGAACAAGCATGGCACAACCCGCGGAGCAATTCGCTGGACAACCACGGGATAGGCCACGACAACAGCGGGATATTCACGCGACCACCCACGGGATATCTAACGGAACAACCACGAGACAACCACAGGACAACCACGGGTCAACCCCGCGGGCCGTTGTGAGACGGGTGAGGAGGAAACATGTTGCCCGGGTTGGCCCTAGCCTTGGCCGACATGTCTTCGCTCATGCGCAGCTTCGCTTCGGCCTAACCCACGGCACGAACCGAAACCGATGTCCCGACCCCACCCCACCCCACCCCACCTTCCGCAATTTCCGACGTACGAGGATGCATACAAGTTACCTCGTCGACGTCGATTATTTTCGATTGAGCCGAGGGTTTCCAAGCGGTTCTCAGCTCACTTGTGCACCGCTGGCCACCGCCAGCAGTCTGGCTCAGGTCGGAGCCGATGCTGGGCATCTGCGTCGTGGGCGGCATGTGCGCTCTTCTGTCTGGCGCGAGCCCCGTGGGCGGGAGGAGGGGGAGGAGAATGCTTTGGAGGAGCCTGTCTGCAGAAGACGTGCGTTTATACACCAGGGCCATCTTGGGCCGTGGGGTAGCGCATACACCCCCAAGGCCTCGGCCAGGAGATGGCACACACCATTTCAGGGCCCAGGATGGCTTTGGCCAGGCACGGTGGGGAGGCCAGGGGCGGTGGTGCTGTGTACATCTGTGTACAGGGCTTGAGGGTTCGCTTCGCTTCAAATCTTGGTCCTGCGTCCAGGCGTCCAGGCACTGTTGGGGGACTGCCAAGGGGCTCACCGGAGCGGATAGGTAAACCAGGAGGCGGGTGCGGGTCATGGGCAGGGCAGAGCCTATAGGCATGTTCACGCCATGATGCATTCGGTACCAGAGTTAGCCATAACTCCAACAGGAGTGACGGTTATGACGTCGAGAGCGTGAACGCCATGACCGCCAGCGATCTGAAAGTCACGGCAACACGGGGCTTGGGCAGTAGCTTTGAAGCCGATGAGTGGGAACAAGAACCGATAAGATCACCTCCGGGAACGTAAAAGTCATGATCCGAGAGTGGTCCCAGTCATGATTTTCACGGAGGTGGCATGGCCGTGACATGGGGCTCAAATCGTGACCAGCTAGGGGCTGTCGGCAATACGGGAAAGGGATGGGTCACGGTGAGCCTCATGAAAGGGGGGTTAGCCGTGAGCGGGGTATGCGTCATGATATTGAGGGGTTACATGCACAGCTACATTGCGAGAAGGGTGATTGTGATGACCGCGAGGGGATAAAGGCCGTGTCTGCTTAACTATCCACAGCTTGCTGAAATAATGGTTGGGCCCGCAACCAAAGTAAGGCGTCTTCACTTTATATGCGGAATGGCACAGGCCTGCGACGATCCGCGGTTGTCGAGCCGCTGGCCCCCAGACGTGTGATTTGTTCCAACACTGTTGTTCGTCGCATTTTCGACCTCCCCGGACCCGAGTCGTTTTTCAACGACCATGAATTCTGCAAGCGGTTTTCGGACCCCGACAGCGTGGAAGGGAGGCGGGCGAGGAAAGAGGAGGAGGAGGAGAAGGGCAGGGCAGGAGAGGGAGGAGCAGAGGGATAAGAGGAGGCACGCAAGTCGGGGGAATGTGAAGGGTCGTCCTGGAGCCATGTTGGACCATTTTGTCGGCTCCTTGGGGCCACATTGGAAGCCCATTTGGGCGTTCGCTGAGATCTTTGGACGCCGTTTTGGGGCC